TGCTGTGTGCAGCTAGTGAAGCAGAAGTCTTGAACCGTGGACACACAGGACTGCCACCTTGCTATTTTCTTTGTGGGGGTGGAGCAAAAGAGGGGCAAGTACAGGGGGTCCTGATCTGAGGTAGTTTTGGGAGGAACACAGTTCAGTAAACAGTTTGCTGTAAGTGACAATCGACATTATGTTTACTGAGAAACTTTACAATTTTTCAGGAAGGAAACGCCACCGCTCGTCCTCTTGTCTTCTGCTAGCTGATGATTTTGAGGTTTCGTGAATTTGCGGGGTTAAAGTTCTCCTGGATGAATTTGCCGTAAAGCAAACTTTAATGTTAAATTTGTGTTTTTGGTTCTTTTCCTATTCTAGAGAATTGACTTTTACGGCAGGCAGATTTTACTTGCATTTGGTGTGAGCGCAGCTTAAAGTGGCTACCCAGTTAGCAAAATTTGTCCGGCCCACTGGTGGGCCACATCCTTGTTTGTTCTGGCCCAATATATGTCTGGGTCCTCAGCCCAGATCTGGCCCACACACTGTAAAGTGAGTAGAACTAAAGGATATGGCCCAAATCTGGTCCCAATCTGGCCCAACTACATTCACAACATTCATGCCAGAATTGCCCCACGAATGTAGACACGAAGCAAAACCATAGGAAGCTGTCCAGGATCTGGCCCTATTTTGGCCCACATGCCTAGCATTTACCCAGTAGTCAACCAACACTCAATAGGAAAGCTAGAATTGGCCCAAAACTGTCTGTTATCTGGGTAACTGGTTGTTTAGCCATCTTGCTGTCTAGTTATCAATACTTAGTAGCTCAAATGAATACACATGACTCACTACTGCCCTCTAGAGGTTGCATCAACATACATTAAAAAAACAAATGTTACTACTGCCCTTTGAAGGTGTTATAGCATCAGTCATAAGTGTTGTTGTTTCTATAGGACCCAATAAATGAATTGTGACATGCATTTGCCTCAGTGCAACAGATGGAAACACACCCAATTCACATTCTGTATGTTGTGAAGTCAAAATATTGTGAAAGCTAACAACTGGGGTAAATAACTGATGATAGCTCAAATCATCGCAATCAGGTGATTGTGTAATAATTGTGACAAGCCTAGTCATCATTTGATGTATGTGTGAGTGGCTGCTACTAAAGTGTTTGCCAAATTTCTTTAATTTTCACCTATAGGCCTCTTTTAACCCTTACAAGTTACACTTATTGTCAATATCATTTCTCACTGAAAAAGCAGAGAAATCCTCTGGAATTTTCACAACATTATACATGTGGCAATTCAGCAAGGCTGTGGATTAACACATTAATGCAAAAAATAACATCCTTGGTCAAGAATTGTGATGGTATTATCATCCAATTTTCCAAGCTCTGCATTACATAGCTTAGCTTTTCTCTACTCAAGCACACTGGATTTAGCTCAAGAACAGGTTGATAATCATCTAATGATATGGTGTGCAGGGAAAATACAAAACTATGTACCAACGCACCATTTCAGTACTGATTCACATGCCCTCACTGGCTTGACCTCACAACTCTGTCTAGTGTAGCGTTTACGGTGCTGAAGTGGCTGCTTGTTGGGGAGGAGGGGACAATGAAGAGTGTGTTGTTCTATAGGACTTATCCTCAGCTACGCTAGCCTCAGTGAGCTAATGAGCTAGCTAAGCAAACTTTACAATAAAAGTTTAAGAGGTTTGAACATAAAATACACAAACTTCATGAACGTTTATCCTTATCTGGCTTTAGAATGAGAAACGCGGTGTGTTTCCTTTTTGTTTTTGCTAGTGATGTGTAACTTAGCTTGCTAGTGCACAAACTACATCGCTAGTGAGAACAGAAAGGAAAGCAACACACCACGGTTTTCATTCTAAAGCCAGATAAATACGTTTTTCCCAAAGTTTGAGTATAAAGTACATAAACCTTATGAAACATTTCATATTTTCTGGCTTTAGAATGAGAAATGTGATGTGTTGCCTTTCCTTTTTGTTTTTTGTTAGCGATGTATGACTTAGCTTGTGAACTAACAGAAGTTACCTCAGCAGTCAAGTATCACAGACGGAGTTAGCTACATAATTTTCAGTTTGAACATTGCAAATCAAATACTGGAGATAATATCAAACACTAAAGTCTTTTCTAAATGAGGTTTGTGTGCCGTTTGTTTTTGTTTTGTAAAACATCAGATCGCAACAGTTTCTGGGCAAATGCTGCTGCTGAAGTTCCACATTTATGATAACTTGAGTGTTTACCCCTCCAAGGGGTCATCTAACAAGCTTACTGAGCTAACACAAAGGAATGGACGTTAAAATGGCCTCTCCAAGGGGAAATGATGAGGACAAGTCAATGAAGGCATGTTACAAACTACTGTTACAAACTACTGAAACAGAATACAGTTGGAAAACACTGCGCTAGCAAACCAGCCTGATTTGACCATCCACAGAAGAAACTACTAGAACATTAGACCCCCTTCTGATTGGCTTGTTAGGAGAAGCCACTGAGCAGGCTAAAGCTGTTGAGCGCTCAACAAAGCTTCAGTCCACATTCCCACATCGGGGACTCATCTGTCTGTGTTTCTACATCTTCGTTAATCTGAAGCTTCTCACTGTGGCGATTTCAGAGGGTAAAAATGAAGCGTTTGTGCCAAATCTTGTGCAGATTGTCAGATACAATCAGAAGATTTCTTCTATTGTGTTTTTTTCACCTCTATTTACGGCCAGATTTTGTGGTTTGTGCTTTTTGTGCAGTGACCACATCACAAATGTTGTAGTAATGCAGCTCAAACGGCCTTTGGGCAGACAGCTCTCTTAAGGCATGTTATCTGGGCCAAAACCATCAGTCTCAGAGCCTCCTGCTCTTTCTGATTGGACCACGTCCGAAGAAGCCGGCCAAACTGCCAGCGTCCCACAGTCCATCTGTCGCCGCGGCAACCTTGTGCCAAGTAACGAAATAAGGAAAAATGACAAACTAGCTGTATTGAAAGCTATTCTATCTGTGTGTGGCCTGAAGATGGAATGTGTTGGATTGGGGCAGTGTGGTGTGCATATAAGAGGGATCATCTATTATATAGAAAAACATGACCATACTTTGTATTCCTTTTACATCAGTTTAAAAATGTCACTAGGATGATAGCACCAGTATTGTTTTAGTGTTATTACCCAGAGAAAATGGTTCCGGAACTCAAGATGCTGATTACAGCTTTGTTTTTGCTGTTTTGTCTTTCTTTTTTTTCACATTCTGTCATTTTAAATATTTATATGACTCATAAAAATCTGAACACACACTGACTACTACTGTACTGACTTCTTCGATTATTATTGCAGACTCTACTCGGAATTGGACAGTTTCACAGTCTAGCTATTATTACACTTGATGAGAAAATCTACTGGACTTCACAAGGTCTCCAACATGTGAGATTTGGCAAACAGACTGCAGGGTGGGTATAGAGTCGTTTTCCTCGGCAGCGGTATGCTGGCCTTGTGGTGCTATGAAGCTCCAGGCTGGAGACTCTAGGGGGTGGGTGTCCAAGCCCATCTGTGGGCTCCTTACTTGGGGATCTGGCAGTATGGCTGAGTGGCTGGATTTCAGGAGGATCCAGATGGGAGTAAAGCAGGTCCGTGATGAGGGAGACATGATAGCACACTGTTAAAAATAAAGGTGACAAAAAGGTTCTTTGGAGTGACACCATAGAGGAACCACTTTTGGTTCCCTCAGGAAGGTTCTTTATTGAACCAAGGGGCAGACTGACTAAAGGAAGTGGTAATTACCAATGGTCTACAGACAGTTGCCATTTTAGAGGGTTATCTATGAAGAATGTTCAGGCAAATGAACACAGGAGCAACTTCCTAATGAACATATGACCAGCTCAATATAAACCCCTCCTGACCTTTTTGAATGGAAGCCTGTTTCCAACAAGTAGGAGAAAAAAAATCGCTGTTTGTTTGTAATTGATACTTTTTCTGGCAGTATGTCCATGTTTTTACTTTTAATGTCAAAAGTCAATATCAGTAAGTCGTTATTCAGAATTTCAAGAAGTCAAACATGAGGCACAATTTGACATGCTGCTGCCGGAAACAGGAGAAAAAAAAACAACAGGTGACTTCTTTCCACCTGCCAGAAAAAAGCTTCTGTCATGTTAGCGCCAGAAATAAGAGAGGTTTTTCACAGGTGTTACAGTCGGAATTTACTATCAGTCTACTATCAGGTAAATGGGAGTTACATTATAATGTACATAATAATCTTCCCCCAGTATTTTGCGCTTCGAGAAGGAACCTCTCTAACGCATATACAACATTGCAACAGCTCAAAATGTTAGCAGATTTGCTCCCAGTAGTGATCCAAAGAACTGGTTTTGGCACCTTTATTTTTAAGAGTGCAATGGCGTGTAGGCTGAAGTCAGCATCTCTCCAGTGTGAAGTATAAAGGAGTGTTTGATGTGGTTATAGTTGAGGAAAGATGCAGGAGAAGAATCTCTTTAACCTCTTAAACTCCAGATGCCAACCAGCAGGTCCAGAGTTCCCTTGTTGACCCTTGACTTTATAATAACTCTGATTTCTGTGCAGATATTGAATAACACACCTTTGAAAGTGGACACAGGAAGCATAAGAGGTTTAAGTCAACTGCTGATCCAAAGCTTGCTCCATTGCTCTTTTACCTCACTGTGGATATCCTTGGTGTTGAGGCTAAACCCTTTAGCAGCTGCATCTTTTCACCGCAAAAGGCTGGTGGGAAAAAAGCCAAGCATCATATGAGTGCGTGTGGGTTTGGGTGAGTGAATGATGATCAGGCAAAAAAACATCCTTTCATTCTTTTGAAGGTGCATCCTCATTGCATGTTAGCACTTGAAGCAGAACTAGCCACAGCTTTGCTAGCTTCTTTGTCATCCTTGCTAACCTCCTTGTCCTGCGTGAGGCTGCAGTTGGCCAGGGGCTTCAGGGCCAGTGAAGAGAGGCTGAGAGCAGAAAAAGGGGAAGGGGAAGAAGAAGAGGGGGAGGATGGAGAGGTAGGGGATGTAGGCGAGCGGCCGTTGGACACCGGAAGGGGCAGCGTAGCCGAAGAGTTAGCGCGCTGCTCCCGGAGTAGCCGGTGGTGCCTGAAGGTGGAGGACAGCAGCAGGGCCTCAGCGGAGAGGCTGGTGGTGGCCGACAGGCTGGCCAACAGGGCTTTGGCTTGGCTGGAGGAGGACAGTGCCCCCTCTTGGGGGTACTTACGGAGGCCCGATGGCAGCCGGCCCGAGAAGCTAGCGGCCCGGGTGCTGGAGAGCAGATGGTCGGACGCTGAAGATTCCCCCAGAGCCTACGTTCAGCAGGGAGTGAAGGAATGGAGAGAAGAGCGAAGAGAAAGAAAGAAGGAAGTGAGGAGAGTGGACTGTTCTTTCATTGTCAAGGGCCTGGCTAATGTTTGGTGGGGCACTGGGCATATTCTTCTTTGTTTATTTGTTGTTTACTTCTATTTTTTTCACAGACAATCAGTCACACACACAAATGTGGACATGTAGGCCTGGTGGTTGGGTGTACAGGGGGCCAGTGTTGGGGGTGGGGGGGTGGTATAGACAAGGCCTAGTAGGGTTGGCTTCAGTGAGAGAAGACTCTGAAGAGGCAGATGAGAAGAAGAAGAAGAAGAAGAAGAAGAGGAGGAGAAAAGAGAAAGAGAGAGGTGGTCGAACGAGCCTGGTTCAGATCAGGTCATGTTGTCTCTCTTCTCACTGCTGCGAGGGTCACAGGGTCAAGGGTGTTGGGTTGCCATGGGGACACAGTGGTGAGAGCATCATCGCCGTGGAGATGATGGCAGGTCACGGTGAGGATGAGGAGGATGAAAGAGGGAAGGTAAGGAAGAGAAGGGATGGAGGGATAAAGACAGAAGACAGAAGACAAACATCAGTTAGTATCAACCATGCATGATACCAGGCAGGTGCAGTAAACATGGCATGTAGTCTCACAAGCCAGACATTTACGTAGTGACAGATAGTGGGTAGGTTTCATTGCTCAATGTGGCCAAGAACGGTCTACTTTGACAGGAAGGGGCTGATTGACTGACATGCAAAATCTGTGTTTTAGCGTGATGTAAAAGCGGGTATTTGTTCAAAAGGTGCTACAACAAAAACAGACATTGAAACAAAGTCCCATGGGCAATAGCTTGTTTTCTTGTGGTTCACTGGTTCCATCAAAACTCCTGAAAAACCTTTAAAGGTGCTGTAAACTTTATAATAAGCTCAATTTATATTGCTCAATCTCAGTATAATTATAAACTTCATATTTTGCCCTGAAAGGCTTACTGTAAACACAGTAATCAGGTAGCTGCTATCTACTGCCAACTATCTAGCATTTAGGTTCATTAGTCAGTCAGATAGTTAGTCATATAAAAACCGGTGTACAGATGTGCGTACACATAGTGCAGATAATGTAATTTACCACCACAAAGCAGGTTCTATTTGGGTGGTGGTTCATGCTCAGCACTGCAGTAACACTGATGTGGTGGTCGTGTGTTAGTGTGTGTTGTGCTGGTACGAGTGGATCAGACACAGCAGTGCTGCTGGAGTTTTTAAACACTGTGTCCACTCACTGTCCACTCTATTAGACACTCCTACCTTGTCAGTCCACCTTGTAGATGTAAAGTCAGAGACGATAGCTCATCGGCTGCATAGTTTGTGCTGGTCATCCTCTAGTCCTTCATCAGTGGTTAGAGGACGCTGTTGGCTGGATATTTTTGGTTGGCGGACTATTCTCAGTCCAGCAGTGACACTGAGGTGTTTAAAAACTCCAGCAGCACTGCTGTGTCTGATCCACTCAGACCAGCACAACACACGCTAACACACCACCACGTCATAATGGTCATAATGTTTTGCCTGATCGGTGTATAGTAGCCAATGAGAGCACTAGAAAACTCTTAGGGAACAAGGAGTGAGCCATCAATATAGCCACACTGAAAGAATTTTTGGAGAGTCTGCGCTTATTCACTGAGGGTTCTGCTTACTGCCACTATAGGGTTGGGGTAGACTCACATTCTCAGCTGTGCAGGCCACCTGCATTCTGCACTGAGGCTATAAGGCTAAATAAAGAGCATGTATCCTTGTTTAAAATCTTTAAAAGTCCATTTTTTCTTCACTTTTTCCAGCACAAATTAGTGCAGTAACAACAGCTACAGCAAACTGCTCAAGCTCCAGTTTGACACACGCCAGTTTTGTGTTTATTCCGTGAAGCAGTTGGGTTTTATTATTAGGTGCATTTGGCACAGATCTGACTGGGTAAAATGTTGTGAATTCAATCACTTGTGTAGTGTCCACCATTACATCGACAACAGCAGGTCTCAAGTGATAAATGTCATGTAAAGCAGCAGTACAGTGTGAAAACCTCTGTGGGCGGAGCAGTAGAGACAGAGACTACATGGCTTGTAGGTTTCACAGCATAAGGAAAAAAATCCACTTCACTCAGACATTTTTCAGTCTGCTAACACTGCACCATTATTAATGCAGCAGGCTGTAATAGTTCACTATTTACTACAGACATAGACAAAAGTTTGGGCACCCCTGGACAAATCACACATTTTATTGATTTTCTATACTTCTGCACATTTGACTGCATTACTGTTTATTTGCTGAACTGAATATTTTTGAAAAAAATAACATAAAATAACAGGCTTTGCAAAAGTTATGGCACATTTTTTATGCTTAATTTTCCCATTATCTTAATATCAATATCAATATTAGAAAAAAAACAGAATTTGTTCACTAAAATTTGCATCAAAGTGCCATATTTAAGTTTGTTCCCTGTATAGGATGATTATACTTATTTTCACTTAGAAAGTCAACAAAGCATGTCATTTGACTGGGTGCAGTTTGCAAGCAACTCTATCTAATCAGGTCTAATGAATATGAAGGCACATGTATTTAATTCAGCTCAGTTCATTCAATATCAAAATTCAGTAGCAAATGAAGTAATTATGGGGCCAATCATAATTACTTCATTTTTGTAAGAGTTAAGTGTAATGAAACTACTTGGCATCCATGATTTAATACACTGCAAACAATTGTTAAGTGTGTCCAAAGTAGATAGAAGATAAGGCTGGAGTGTCATCAGCACATAAATAATAGTTCAAGCCATGCTGACAAACAATGTGACCAAGAGGGAGAATATAAATACTAAATAAAAGTGGTCCAAGTACTGACCCTTGTGGAACACCATAGGTGACAGCAGATGTGGCTTACTGCGTCGCATTATCTCTCACAAAGCGCTGCTGATTTCTCAAATAAGACCAAAATTAAGACAGAGTGAGGCCAGTGACACCTACACGACACCTCCACATGCTCTCCATTTGCATTTGAAAGAATGCGCTCCACAGCAGAAGTGCTCCTGTACTTTCAGCACCTGAAGGATCAGAGCCTTTCCCCTCAACTAATCACCACCCTGCAACACCCCTGCTAAATTAACTTAAATGGCTTTGATCCAGTAGTGCTCCAGATGGTGCCTTACTAAAGCACATAAGTCTAAGCGTAGGACCAGACAGAGAGAAAGAGTCAGGAAAATGAGAGAGAGAGAGAGAGAGAGAGAGAGAGAGAGAGAGAGAGATGTGAAGGACAGAAGGAGAGAAAATGAAGTCTCAGATCAAAAGCAAGAGAGAGGTTCACAGACAAAGATATGAGCTGTGGGATCTCTGATTTATTATCCTTGCAGATCTCACATGCACTCTTTATTTATTTAACATTCGGTTATTTATTAAACATAGACAAAACATTCACGGCAAAACGCTTTCATCTCTCATTACATTTCTGCCCAGTTTCGTTTCAAACAGAGGCCAATAATACAACAAATAAACAAGTTATTTAAGAATTAATGAGCAATGAACAAATCTTTTAATAATCAGACAAAATAGTACACAAACTGTGAGCCTCAGATATTCAGCCTTCACAGTTCAGTTTATGATTATTTATTTATATTATTACAAATAGGGAAGATTAAAGAGAGACGCTGGATAGAAAATAAAGTGGATAGAAAAGAAAGAGGGTAAGAGAAAAAGAACAAATGGCAAGAAAGATGGACTAAAGGAAATAGATGGAAAAAAGCAAAGAGATGGAGAATAATGGGAAGATATAGAAAGGAAAGAAAGGTAAAGATGGAGAGAAAAAGAAGAGCTAGTGAAAGATGAATAAAAAGGGAAGAGAGAGGAAAAATAGAAGCAATAGAAAGGCGAGAAAAGGAGAGAATGGCAGGAAGGGGAAGAGGGAGAAAATTAAAATATGGAGAATAATGGGAAGAGTTGGATAGAAAGGGAGGAGATGGAAAAAGGAAAGAAAGAAATAGAAGAGAACAGAAAGACAGAAAGTTACAGAAAAAAGAGAAGGAATAAAGAGAAAGGGTAAGAGACTGATAAAAGAAAATATAAAAAGAAAAGGAAAAAAGGGAAAGAGAACAGAGTGGCAGAAAAGTAAGTGATGGACAGAGAGGAAGGAGACGGAAGAGATGGATAAAAAGGGAGGAGACGGAAAAAGACAAAAAATGGAAAGAAAGGGAATAGACAGATAGAGGGAAGAGGGAAGAGAGGGAGAGAATTGGAAAAGGTTTTGAAAGAAACAGAAAAGGAAAGAAAAGAGATGTAAAGAAAGAAGAGATTGATGGAAAGGGAAAATACAGAAAAACGGATAGAGCTTACAGACAAGACTAAAAGTTTAGAGATGTTGAAAAGAAGGGGGATGGAGGGAAAAGAGAGTTATTACAAGAAGGAGGGAGAGAAGAAGAAGGTAGAGAGAGAGAAAAAGAGAGTGTTCTTCTGTGGCCTGAGGTGGCCGGTAGAGTTTGAGCCAGGCCGTTTATTCCACTCTGATGGAGCAGAAAAAGAAGCTCGCCTCTTTCTTTTCTCCTCTCTCTCTCGTCCACCTCACTCTGCTCTTCCCTCTCTCGTTCCCTTCATCTCCCTCACCAACACTGCAGGCTTGCTGCTCCACGCTCTATTTAGCCAGTCCTTTCATAAGAGCCTCAGAGCGCAAAACGCAGCAAGAGAGGCTGAAGTGCTCTCTGCTGATGGGGATAATAACCACGTACAGTAAAAAAAAAAGAAAAAAAATATATATGTAGCCTCTGATTGTTCTTGCATGTGGACTTATTCTTAAAAATAGCTAAAACTTCTTGCCGTACAGGAAGTAAATGACAGCTGAATGGACTGCAGAGACATATTTCATATAGAATAATGAGCAAGGCTTGCCTCAGTTTTCTCACTGGCTATTTTAATCACATATAGCAACTTCAGCACTGGCATTATTTAATGTTTGTCTTTTTAAAGCAACAGACTGATGAAAAATCATATTTATACAATTTTCCACCTAATACAGTCGATGGACCAAGACAGGTTTGGTGTCTTAAGTTTGCTTCTTCAGTTTTGCACAGGAGCTACAAAGCTAAAGTAATGGAGGCTTACACCTTACTAATTAGCACCATGCTAACTGCATGTCTAAATCATCGGACACTAACTTACTCCAACTGTGTCGAGTTGTTAATTAATCTCAAGTAGACTACAATCTGTCTACCAGAAATGGGGACTCGAGTCGCGAGTCAGGTCAACATGTTACTTGAAAATGACTCAAGGCCCCATTTCTGGAAGCCACATTGTGGTCTGAGTTTTGTCCTTGTTATAGGTAACAGTATATTATACACAAAGCAGGTCTACGTAAAAGCAACACTGTTTGAGTGATTCGGTGTGTGATGATTAAGACATTAC